AGCCCTTAAATGAATGAAAAATAAACAAGTAGTAGCATAAGTCCTCTCCGAAATCCCTAATCCCAAGCATCCCCAAAGGTCGTTGCGTTACAGTGCCACTCCTTTTGTCGAGTTACTATCGAACCCGATTATGGTGAGTCCTAAGCCAATTGTCCTCGAGGAGAAGAAGGAAATTCAAACGCTACTGGTGGAGAAATCAGTAGAAGAAGAGGAGATCTCGAAGCACGATTCGTCGGAGGTTTGCAGAGTGAGTGTTAGCATGAGTGAGAGTGCGATGCTAACGATGGTGAAGGAGGAGGAAACATTAAGCAGTAAGTAAAGGGAAACAAGATATCTTTTGTTAGAAAGTTTTCCGCAGAAAGGATGAACTAGGAATTTTCGGCGTTGGATTGGGGTCTGAGGAAGGAGCAACGGGTAATGGGGAGGTCGGTGACATGAACGATCTACAATGAAGAGGAATCACTCTGCCAATAGTGGGGTAGGTATGTGAGGATGGTTCATCAGAGTAAGAATTACAATGGGCATCAGTTGTCGAAATGGTTCTGTCAAGAAAACAACCTAATCCTCATTTTGGTTAGGAATGATACCAACGGCGAGTCAACATAACTCAAGAACTTGTGACGGCTTGCTCCAATTATTTATTATTGGTTGATTTTTATTTGACACATAATCAAACTAAAGGCCGAAGTTTATAGTTGAGCACAGTGTAGGACAAAGTTAATAGAATTGGACGACGAGTTACCAAAGAGGAAATTAAGTTGAAAGTGAGTGGCTAATAAGGAAGAATATTTTTTTGTGTGACAAGCGTGAAAAATTGTAATAATTAGTGTGACCAAATTTTTAATTTAGAAAAAATGTTTCCGCTCATTTTTGTCAAATCGATGACTTACTGTCCGGTACAACCAGGTTCAATCAGTATGAGTTATGATTCAGCAAAATTCGAACAGGGTTCAATTGATTTTCGAAAATTATATGTTGATTTTATTTGTTGAATTAAGGTATGAATGCTTATGCTATTTGTAATTTTTTTTTTTACAGAAATCTGTTATAGGATGCTAGTAGATGGTGTGAGGAGAAGGGAAATGAGCATAGTCCCTAGGGTTCAAATGTAAAGTTTGGATGTTGGCATTAATGTTGTATTTTCTCATTTTGTTTGAATTATTGTATTTTCTTTAAATATGAATGTAGATTTTAGAGAGATTTTCTTAAATTATACTATATATGTCTAAATTCATTTAGTGTTAATAATTTTTACTTCCCTGCAGGTTTTGCTAAAACCGACATGAACTAGCATTACGGTTGTGTCATTGGTTGGACCATAACACTTTTCACACTAGTATAAATAGGGCGGTTAAATGGTTATCCCGTTAACGATGTAACCGATAACCAAACCGAAACTGGTGCTTAACGGTTACAACCATAACCGTATAGTAAAAGGTTGGTTCTCGTTGGCCAAATTTAGCTAATAAATAACCGATGATTAAACGATTTAATAACCAAAGGTTAACCGACTAACCGATTACAACCATTCTCATAGTTAGGACCGAAAATAATAGACTATCATGAGCCGCAAACATAGGCAAAAATAATGGGGCGTTTGAGGCTTACAAGCCCCCTTGCCTATCCTAATTGTAATAGTGACCTAAGACTCAAATGAAAATAATTTAAATGAAGAGTTTTAGAAGGAGCACAATAAAAAGTCAAACTTGCGCACAGTTGCTCGACAACAATCAATAACATTAAAATTCCATGTAATTAGGTGGGGTTTACGAGTTGAGTAATTATTGTTGGGTCTCTTATCGTTGTATGCTTCTTTAATAAAATTTGACGGTAGAATGATATTCTTGTTTACTTGTGTTGGACTGAGTTGATTATGTATTGATAATTTGATATATATCTATATTAAATTATTTTTCTATTCAATGATAACAACTAAAAAAAAGAACACATTCGTATCCGGTTAACCGATATAATAACCGAAAACCGATCATACGATTATTGTTAACCAATTAATTTAAATAGTGTGATGAACGGTAAGTGATAGACCGTTATTTACACATGTTTTTACCCTCGTTCTTACACCGTTTGAGGTGTTGATTCTCGTGTTTTAGGCCGATTTCACGCTAGGTTGTGCTTGTTTGTGATATTTCAGGTCCTAGTACGTGAATGGAGGCTTGGGAGCGAGTCTGAGGTCGATTGGACGAAGATCGGACGCGTGGCGAGGTGTCAAGGAAGCCGCACGGGCAGAACAGGGCATCACACGGCCGTGCATGTGAGCAAGATGGCCGTGTGCTTTTTGCCGAGGCCAAGCACGGGCAAGCTAGAATTCTCACACGGCCGTGCACCCTGGCCGTGTGAGAAGTCTAAGGATCGAACTTAATGAAACGCTGCGTTTTGAGCCGTACGGCCAAGTGGGTGAGTGCGAGTCGGGAAATCCTGGTTTTAGAGCCTATTCCGAGCAAAAAGTGGGGGAATCGAGTTTTTAGAGCAAAAACAGAGCCCTAGAGAGAGAAAGTGCGAAGAACACATCCTAGAAGCTATCTTGGAGCTGGGTTTCGTCGAATCGAGCTTGGAGATCGTCATAGGAGTGGAAATCATCATCCCGGAGCAGATTTTCCTCATCGTTATGAGTATGACTACTCCGATTACTGTTTTCTCTTCTCTCTCTATGGAGTAGAACCCTTCTCTCACTTGGGTATGAAGAACCCTAGTTCCTTGTGTTAGGGATTTGATTGTAATGACTTGGGATGATATTACTGTTTGATTTTAATCGAATGATGCATGTTTATTGAATTGATTGGAGTCTGATCAGCTTTTCTCAATTTCTGCTGCAACCTGAGATAGATAGAATCTGATTAGGTTGTTAGAGTCTCTTCATTCGATAGTAGGAGATTGGCTATACGAGAGTTGGCCAGTTTACTGCTTTGTACTGGAATTCAATTCCATTAGTGGAGTTCTGTGTTCATAGCCTCAGCTTTCTATCCCGGTGAAGGCTAGTCGTCTGCCGGGTAGCTAGACTGAGAGGGCTTGGTCAGCTTAAGAGATTCCAAGCTACTGTCGGAGCTTCCGCAGTCTAATCAAAAGTAAATTAACCCAGGGGAATTACAATTGAACCTAACTAAGGGGCTAGGGGGACTCAATCCCGAGTGACTCTTTCCTGACTTTGAAAACCGAACAATTTACTGCTTTCTTGCTGTTTTTGCTTTTAACAACAATTACTCGAATTAGTTTGTTAGATAATAGAGAATCACGGAGTAAGCAATAGATCTAGACCCCGGGTTGATAATATAACTTGCCTGTTACTGCATTCCCGGACTGCGATTACACTTGGTCGCAGTTTGGTGTTGTGTTTTGGCGTGTCAGTAAGACAAAGTGATTAACGGTTAATCGAGAACCAACTAAACGATTGCAGTTAAAATCGAACCGAACCGTTTATCCGCCCTAGTGTTGATATAAACCGGTTTTACAACCTTCATTCCGTCACTTCACTTGCCAGTAGGGATGGCAATGGGGCGGGTTTGTCTAAACCATCCCCATCCCCGCTTTCAAATATTCAAACCCATACCCGCCCCATACCCATGCGGGGGAAGATTTTGCAAACCCATCCCCATACCCGTGGGTTTCGGGTACCCATGGGTAATACCCGCCCCGTACATCCAACATTATAATACATAAAATTTTGGCTTAATTGCAAGTTTGGTCACTCGAATTGCTTAAAAATTTCACGTACAGTTCGCTCGCCCAGTTCTCCGTACAGGCGGCATTTGAAACGAAACGACAACTTGGGAAAACCGTGATTTGAGAGTTCTCTTCTCAGCGAGGAATTCAAGAGCTTCTACTTCGCTAGTATCTTCTCGGTGACCTGTTTCTTGTTCAGAAACCTGATTTGGTGGCGGGTTTCTTCTTTTTGGGTAAAGAAAAGGAGGGTGGTCAGCAAAGAATGATGGACATGAGTAAGTTTGATGTGCATTTGAGATTGTGGGCGCTCAGGATTCCTCGAGAGCTCTGCAAGGTGGCCACTCGCCTCCTCAATGGGTAAGCAAGCAAGAATACGAGACTGCTGCTGTATTTCTTGTTGTTTGGCCTTGTTTGTATTTCAATGGAATTTGCAAAGTAGAGAGGCGGCGTGGGAGGGAGGATGAGAGGATGAAGATGGAGAAGGGAAATGCCCTAATCCATCTGCGTTTAGTTTTCACGGGGGGTTGGGTCACTGGTTTGGGTTTAGGGTCAGTTAATTGGGTCTGGTTCGCGGGTTTGGGCAAGAATGGCTGACTGGGCGGGTAAGGGTGAGCTGGCGGGTCGGGTTGTCTTTTTTTAATGTTTAAATGTGCTGACTGTGTCTTTCTGTTAGCCACGTCATCACTTAACGGTCGTCATTAACGGAGGTTAACGGAGGTTAACGGAGAGTGACCATACTTGGACTGTTCAACTAATTCGAGTGACTATAAATGGAATAAATCAATTCGGGTGGCAAACATGAAATTTTTAAGCAATTCGAGTGACCAAACTTGCAATTAAGCCTAAAATTTTACATGTAAATTTTCAATTATAACATTAAAGGCACCTATTATATCATGAAGTCGAGAAAGTGACAATAATTCTTAATATGGTTCAAAGCATTTTATCCTAAAATTTTCCTTAATCCATAAAATAGAGTACTACAATGTAATCCAAATCATTATTTATGTGACTCTAATACGTATACTAAGCAATAATGAACTAATATAATCTTGCTAACACGAGGGAAAAGTGAAAGAGTGAAGAGAGAGTTGAGGAAAATGAATTAGGTTTTGATTTGGGTGACCACTCAATTGCATTTCTACTAATTATTTTTTTTATTTACCCTCACTATCATTGATAGATTACTATTTCATCCATGTATTTTTATATGTGAAAAAATATTCTTGGTGGGGCGGGTATGGGTATGGGGCGGGGAGGCTAAAACCATACCCGTCCCGTACCCAATCAAAATGGGGATTCCCCGCATTGACTGGATCGAAGGCGATCGAATACCCATAAGCATGAGTTTAATTGCCATCCCTACTTGCCAGTCAGTATGGCAGCTGAACACAATGAAACAAAATCTCCGGTGAAATAAATATACAAGAGCAATGCCACTGGGGACTGGGGGAACAAAAAGTATAGAACTAGTTGAAAGTAGAAACCCATGGCGTCTGCTGCGATCGGAGGCAAGCTCTCTTCTGCGCTTCTACCCGGAAGCAACCACAACTCCTGCTTGGTGAGAGTCGTCCCCGCTAGGCAGCTGGCCTTCCGACGCCGGCTTCCGGCCAGATTACTTCTAGCTTCTTCAGCTTCCTCAGTCGAAACCACTCTCATGGTTCGCTTCTACTAACCCAATTCCTCTTTCTTTTGTTTTTGGGTCTTAAATTTTTGGTCCCTGAGTTATACTGTATTACAGTTCTCCCCCAATTTTTGCGTCGGTGCTACAACCGTTGACAATGGGGAATTTTGGTGGTTGTGGTCATGTCCGAATTCTGATGTTGGTTATGTATTAGGAAACTATTGTGGCGGGGAAGGAAGTTAGTGGTGGTGGTGGTGATTGGGATAACATCTTAGCATGCCCAATTTGTTATCGGCCGTTGTCGTTGATCAGTGATGGACTCCTAACTGTGTATGCTTACTTACCGTCTCAATTTGTCCATTCTATGCTGCCCTGCCATCTGTTGGTTTGACGGTGTATATGCCCATACGGATTGGTTTACTTGCAGAGACTCTGCATCTAGGGCTAGCCTTGAGTGCAGTTGCTGTAGAAAGACCTATTACGGCAAGGAAACTCACGTTGAGTTGATTGCAGCTAGTGGTGCCAAGACTTATGAGAATCCCATGCCATTGGCCACCGAGTTCTTCAGGTTATTGAATGCTATTCTTCTTGGTAACCACCACTAGCCAATTCTTGTCATTTCATGTTATTGCCAATTCAGTCATGCCCTTTTTAGTTGTTTTCTTGGCTATGCAGGCTTCCTTTAATATCATTTATCTACGAGCGAGGTTGGCGTCAGAACTTTGTGTTTGGTGGCTTCCCGGGCGCTGAGAAAGAGGTAGTATCTAACTCTTCCTGGCTGTGCAGCATTTTGGGGGGTGAAAGAAAAACACGTCTCTAACGCTTGATTACCAATTTTGATTGGGTACTGCAGTTTGAACTGTTAAAAAATTACGTGAAGCCAGTCTTAGGTGGGGGAAATATTGTGGATGCTAGCTGTGGTAGTGGATTATTCTCGAGGCTATTTGCCAAGAGTGGGCTGTTCTCCCTAGTCGTTGCCCTGGACTACTCAGAGAACATGCTAAAGCAGTGATATGAGTTTGTAAACCAGGAGGCCGACTTCCCCAAAGAGTATATCATTCATCAATCTCAATTTTCGGACTTAGGAATGAATGCTTACTTCAACTGTAAGTTGAATCCAACTAATCTGATGGAGAGCGCGTTGGTTTCTCTCAGGAAATTACTATTGGTGAGAGCTGATATTGCTAGGCTGCCTTTCCTCACGGGCTCTATAGATGCTCTTCATGCTGGTGCTGCTATACATTGTTGGCCGTCACCATCCTCTGCTGTAAGCACCACTTTGTCTGTGATTTGGTTTGCTTGTTTGTTGTAGTAGATGCATCCAACACGCTGCTTTGTGCCATTTGATCTTGCTCTAAATTGTCTGGTTCATTTATGCTTATGGCGCTTCACTTTATGAGGTTTATGGAGCATTGTGAATGATCGTAATAGGTTAAATTTTACATGTAGGTAGCTGAGATAAGTCGAGTCCTGAAACCCGGAGGAGTGTTTGTGGGAACTACGTATATACTTGATGGACCTTTCAATTTCATTCCTTTCTTGGGAGCTATACGCCAGGTTGGTGCCATTTAAGTAAATCCGGCTAAGAAGGGAGTTACTCTCTTCACCTCACAGAGATACTAGCAGGCGTACAATGAGGGGTGCAAGTGCACACTATTCAATGGTTGAAATCGTGCATGTTCGATATCGTACCTGTGCGGTCGAGAGAGCAACCCTTCCACGGCTTTGCCGGATTGCATTTCAGGAATGCCTTTGCTTTGGCTATGTAACGTTTCCTTGTTCTCTTTAGCTTTTCACTTGTTTCCCTCCCTTATGCAGAATGTGTCGGAAATATCAGGAGCGTACAGCTTCATATCAGAAGGCGAGCTAGAAGACATCTGCCAAGCCTGTGGGTTGGAGGGATTTACTTGCGTCAGGAATAGGCAGTTTGTCATGTTTTCGGCTACAAAAGCAAAACCACTCTAAAAGCTACCTCAATTTCTGCTGCTGCTGGTTGATTTACAAAATGGATTCGTATCACCATTTATTAATTTATCCATATTTATCAATTATATAAGTAGTTAATTCAAAATTAGCTGAAATGACCAGTAGCTGAGTTTCAGCGGTGGAGTTGGTCTAACAAAGGGGAATCATTTTGTTTGCTTGATTAATTTCCACATAACGTAAACTCTGCGCAACGACAACTCCAAACCAATTTTACTAGGGCGTATCCAAACTGTGGAAGCCCTATTTAATCTACATATCAGCTTGTAAAATTTTGGTGTCGTGTGTAGCCACTACATGCCTGGAAAAAATTAACTGAAAAAATCTCTCTTACCATTCGTTCTATTTACCTAAATCGGCAAAAATCGGCTGTTGGTGAAGCAGTGCCATCTCATCATGATCGTTCGTGGCCATAGTGATCATAATCTCCCTCATATCTATCTCAATTACGGTTGTGTCCCTAATGGACGCTGGTTCTTTATCTCTCTCGACATGAGAAATGGTGATATTAATATCATCCATAGTGAACTCTCTAATGTGAATTGTTGAAGAATGGTAAATCTTGAGTTAGCCGACCTAATAATGTATTTTGTTTTGAAGAATAATACAAAAATACTCTCTATGTGCTGTGGACTAGTCTCAATGTTCTACGTTGAGGAAACCACGTAAATCTTGTGTCTACGTTCTTCGATTTCTTTGAGTTAATTGGCATAGTATCAGAACTTCAAGCCCTACTCATTTGATTTCCGGTTTCGCGTTTTCGTTCGTGTGCTTGTGCATCGTGTTTCTTCTCTTACGCGTGTTTGGGCTTTCTCCGCATTGTTGGGTGTTTGCGGTGCACTCTTGCTGCACTTTTGTCTTCGCGTGGCTGTTGGTTCTAGGTTTCTTGGTGCTCTCTTGTCTTTGTGTGATTTTGGGTTTCAGCGATAGTAAGGGTTTCTTTCTTTTCTTGACGGCTGATCATGGAGGGATCGAAGGGAGAGGTGTTGTCGGTTCGCTTCAAAGGTAAGAACTTGGCTCTTTGGGAATTTCAATTTTGGATTTTCATTCAAGGACGTCAATTGCTTCATATCGTCGATGGTACCACTCGTGCGCCAGCGAATGATGCTTCTAACAAAGTGAAGGAGTACTGGGTCACTAATAACGCCCAGGTTATGTCTTTGCTTCTGGGATCTATGGATCCGAGTATTTCATTGAGCTTGCGGGGGTTCTCTACTGCTTATGGGATGTGGAAACATCTTACGTACGGATCTGTATTCCAAGCCTATTGCTTCCCGCAAATTTGATCTTGAGCTAGATCTTGCCAATCTAAAGCAAGGAGATCGAGATGTTAGTGCTTATTATCAGGAGGCGGTCACTCTCTCGACAGAGCATGATCTCTAGATGAGTTTGCTGGTTCCCGCGTCTGCCTCAACTGACGTGATTCACGAGCGTAGTAGTTCTCGTGTTATGCAATTTATTATGAATTTGAGGTCCGGATTTGAAGGGATTCGTGCTTCCCTTCTTCATCGCAATGTGGATACTATGGGGGAGGTTCTTGCTGAACGACTTCGTGAAGAAACTCGCCTCCGAAGTTGGTCTATGCTCGATATTCATGCTAGTGATAATCTGCCAGCGTTAGCGTTCCGGGTGGTAAACCTCAATTCTATCGCATTGGTAAAGGGGAGATCATTTGTCATTATTGCAAGGAACCAGATCATATCCAGTTTCATTGCAAGAAGAAGAACACTTGTAATTACTGTAAGCAGTATGGTCACTTAATTGGTGATTGTCTCGTTCTTGCACGTCGAGGGTGTGGTCGAGGCAATGGTTCGCGTGGCGGGCCGAACTCAGCTGGACCGGCTTATGCTACGCGTATGGCGTCCACATTTTGCTGCTGTCACTCCCTCTCACGTCCGCCAAATGGTTCAGGAGCTTTGAAGGAGACTTTACCATCTGTACTTACCTCGGCCTTCTCCACGGTTACAACTCCTTCTTCCCTCTCCTCTTGGCATATTGATTCCGTAGCATACAATCACATGACTAGTTCTAAGAATTCCTTTCATACACTTGGTAAATCGGCTACGAATTTAGCACTACAAGCTGCCAATGGGTCGACTATGGTTGTTCAGGGTATTGGTCGTTTGGTTGCGCCTAGTGTTTCTCTTCCTGATACTTTATATGTTTCTAAACTAGTGTCAGTTTACTCTCGGTGGGTCAACTTGCTGATGATGGTTGCCAGGTCATTTTATTCCATTGGTGTACTGTGCAGAGCACGAGGACGAGGCAGGAGCTCGGGAGAGGGAGTAAACACGACCGATCTTTCATGCTTGACCACTACTCTCGACCCGATGATGGTGGTGATCGTGTGCATGGGAAGATGGTGACAGGAGGTGGTTCTCGCATGGCACCAGGAGAGAGGAAGCATGCTAGTGATTGCGAGGGTTTTGCTTTTGATTTTGATTGTCATTCAGGTGGGACAAGGTTTTTAGTAACATTATCTGACTGGGATTTCTGGAATTTTAGACTAGGTCATATGAGATTGGGATTGGAATTGGAATTGATTTTAGGGTGTAATTCGATATTCGGAATTTTGGTATTTGATATTGGGATACCGATACTGTACCGATTTCCAACCCTAGATAGGACGGCAACATAGCGATGCCTGCCAACTAGGGGTGGAAATCAGTATGGTATTCGGTATCCCAATACCAAATATCGAAATCCCGAATACTGAATTACCCCCTAAAATCAATCACAATTCCAATCCCTAAATAATTTCGGTATCCCAATCCCAATCCCCAAATATTTCGGTATCCCAATCGGTACTTCGATATCCCAATCGGTATTATCCAACTGGAATTAATTACCTTTGCAATTAATAATTAAATATATAAATTAGACTTGATTGTTTAATTTAGGGCAAAGAGACTAAGCAAAGAGTCTTGAGTTTGCCTTGAGCTAGGATATTATTATGGAGAATGGAGGATAGGTGACATCTCAAGTTATTGTCATTGTTAATCTTTAATTTGACGAATTTGAGGTTGATAGACGACTATTACTAGTGTTTGCTTTTTGGTGTTATGGAAATAACAAGAGATTAGATGAAAGACGAGAGTGACTTAAATTGGAAAGTCAAATTTGAGTTGGATGAAGACTTCTAAGTTGTGAAATAGTGATGGAATGATCTATGTATAATTAAATGACACCCTTGGTGGTTGAGGATCGTGTAGTAGTGAATTCGAGAGTCTAGTTGAAAGGATAAAATACACACTAGCTTATATTTCGGTATTGATCTGTATTTTGGTATATACCGATCCCAATCCCGTAATCCCTAATGCTGAATAACAATTGAAATTCAATCCTAATCCCAATCCCAAAAAATAATATGTGTATTCGATAATACCAAATATAGACAAATTCGGTAAGGTATTCGGTATATCCCAAATACTGGTACGAAACTTACAACACTACTGCCAACCATCTTTAGAGACTGTGGCTACTGTGCTAAACACTACGATGCATGTGAAAGAATAGGGGCTATCTCCAGAAGGAATGAAATGATTCGAAATATATTTCAAGTTTTCAAACAATAAAAGTTATTTTTTTATGTTTGGGGCATAGACTTTATGGGAACCTTTTCCTTCGTCATTTGGAAACAAATATATGTTGCCATTGACTGCATATCCAAATGGGTGGAGGCTCAAGCATATCCAAACTGATGAACCTGCTGGCTTGAGTGTCGTTAGTGTCGGCCATCAAGCGTTATGAGTGTCGCAGTGTGGGGCATTGGGCTTTCAAACACGAATGACTAACATTCTGCTTTGGCTTTAAGCGCTGCTTTGTGGGAGGCAAAGTGGGAGCGGTTCAAGTGCAGAACCTTGTGGTCAATAACCATTCATAATCTGCCACATCACTATTTATTGGAGACCCCTAACAATTTTCCTTATAGATTTTGACGAGTTATATCTCTTATATTTTACGTAGTAATTCAAATTTTTCCGCACAGATAAATTAGATAAATTGTGCTCTTTAAATTGATATACACTTTGCTATATTTTTGGAACAAAAAAATTGAGACATTTAGTACCAATCTATACCATGGTGGTAATGTTTGGCACTAAATAAAATCATACGACGCGATACTGAAGTGTACTATGGTGGTATGAACATATACCAGAGTCAGAGTGTGTAATGGTTGAATATATGATAGTAGAATATACGAATTGTCATTTACCACATTGATCATTGTGTACAACGAGTTACCACCCCTACACCAGGGTGGTACAAAGTGTACCATGATGGTATGAACATACCAGAGTGTGTAATGGTTGAATATAGTAGGAATATACGAACTGTCATTTACCACATTGATTGTGTACCACCAGTTACCACCCCTACACCAGTGTGGTACAAAGTGGTACGTTTGTGCAAATCACCGTAACACAAAACAATTCAGAACCAAAGTCACAATTGCGGCCAGAAAACGGCGACTACTCTTCAGAAGAGCAAGGTGCGGTAGAGATGTAGACAGTAGATACAGAGAGAAATCATTTTAGAGTGGAGAATGGTGTTCAAGATCTCAAACGTTTTGAAGATCTAAACCAGCTATTGAAGAAGCGTATTCTTGTCGTCATTCACAGGACTACAAATTTAATGGGCTAAGATCAGGTGACTGGGGGGGGGGGGGGGGGGGAGTCACATGACTAAGTGAATCTCAGCCCTTCCATCTCATTAAAATCTAATGGCTACAATTAATCTACTTTAATGAAGGGCAAAACTTAGGTAACCAGTTCGCGGAGTGAGAGCGGGAGCGGGAGCGGGAGCGAGAGCGCGAGAGCGTCTATTTTTGAAGAACTCAATATCGAGAGCGTTAAGAGAGCGTTAATATTATATAATTTTTAATAAATATATTAAATATAATTCTTAAAATATAGTCAATATCAAATTTATACTAGTTAAACTTGTTAACAAGATTATATTAAATATTATATAAAGATAACATATGTTACCGCTTACTAAATTAGCATAAGCCTAATTTATTTATTTTTTTTCCCAAAAAGTGGTTTAAGAAACTACAAATTAAGGAGTGGACTCCAATTGATTAAAAGTAAAAACTAGAAATCCTTCTCTTTCCACGCAAACAGCTCAACCACCACTCTCCACCACAAATCCCTTATCTATTCCTCTTGTGTCAGAAATCACTTCATCTTCTGGCATACTCCTTTTCGCTCCAAGCAAAGACCATTCACCAAAATTTTCTTCCTCTGCTTCCAATCTTTGCTTGATCGCATATTCATCTCCTGGCTTGTTCTTTTCATGTTCT